AAAAGGATAAACCCTAGAAAAAGACCTGAATCTTGGCCTTGACATTATCGATTGTGTCGCTGCTCTCGACCTCGAGCGTGATCGTTTTTCCAGTTAGGGTTTTCACGAAGATCTGCATCTTCACCTCCGCTCAACTTGTCTCAGATTCTTGGCTCGAAAAATGCTGCGAAAGAGATGGATATATACAATAGATTTTTGTGGCAAGATGGATTTTTTTTTGGCTTTTGGCGGTATTTATCAGAAAAAAAAATCCGCCATTGTTATTTTCTTGCTATTTGGGTTGTGGTGAGTGGACCCCACACTTATTCTCCAAATAGTCCAATTTGATAAATCAAATAATAATCAATTCATTTTTTTTTCCAAAATTCTGATTTTTTTTAATACTATTTTTTTTTTTACCATTTAAGCAAACATTGTTACACTGACAATAAAACGAAGATAAATTAAAAAAAAAATAAAAAAATGAATGCTCAAACATTGACAATAATCATTGTGTTGAAGATTGTAAATGTGAAAGTTACTTTGATTTTTACTCACCAACCCCATTAGAAAAATATATTAGGATAATAAATTTGAACTCAAATGTAAAAATGAAGTTCGTCGGGATTTTTACTTGCCCGTTCGAATATTTACTGACGAACACCGTTCGAAAATGCATAACTCGATTATAAAAATGAAGTTCGTCGTGATTTGTGCTTACGAACACCATTCGAACGGTACTCAACAATCCAAAACTCGTAAATTGTTGGCATGAAAAATATTATTAATAAATATTTTTAATACACGAGTTGTAAAACTATTTACTATGGTAGATCATTATTCATTGGGAATAAACAAAATAATAATTATTGTTTTTCAATTTGAAATTATGAATATCAATTAAACAAAAAAGTGTATATATTGGTGGATGAGCATTGTAAATGTATTCTGCAAACTGCAATTGCATACTGATATTCTGATGTCAATGGAGGAGAATTTGAGCATAGAGGAATTGGAACATTTTAAAGATCAATATTCCAAAATAATTAGAGCATCTTGTAGCTGTACAAATTTTACAATTTTGCTTATTTGTTTAATTGCAAATAAATAAACAAATAATAAATTCTATCAGCCAAAAAAATGCCCAAAAACAAAAAATTGTCACAGCTTTCAACTGCCCCAACCGATTTCAACCGGCTATCTCCCGAGACGGGATTTCATCAAACTCCATTGCAAACTCTCTTCATATGACAGCCGGCGCGTATGTTCGTTCTTGCTATCAATCGCATTTTTGCATTTGTGATCGTGAAAAGCTGTGCAGAACTGTCGGCATGGACACACGAACGAAAATAAATTTTACAAAAAAAATAAATAATAATAATAATGAACAATAGTGCTTTTAAAAACATTCATACCTCTTTTCATCGTCATCATTCGTTGGTACAATCGTCGAAACGTAGAACCTGTAAAGGATCTCAAACTGCGACCTATTTGTAAACGAAACATCCGGATATCAATTCAGTAAAAAATAAAAGAGATAAATTGTAAAATACTGCATTTTTCACACATATTTAAAGAAAATTAAACTTAATGGGTTCTCCCAATTACAGATGCGAAAAATTCTTACTCCAATGGCAGGTCGAGTAATATGTACACTCGTCAACCCATACGGAGCATCTTGAACTAAGCTGCTAGCAAATAACTACAATAAGGAGAATGTATAAATAAAAACAAATTAAGTTAACAAGTGAATATCAAAGAGATATTAAAAGGGACAAACATTATATTATATATAGCACTAAAATCGTACCCTCAAGAGCAAGATCCATAGCTCGCCACATATCTCATTAAATCACCATCTATGCTTGTGTGAGAGTCTCTCACAATCAGTAGACTTCTCGATTTTCAATCCTTGACCACAACTGATAAAGGTCAAACACTTTATCCAGCTGCCCCATCCTGAAATATTTCTTCATCATTATCACAAGTGGCACATGATCGATAAGCAAACCCGAGTTCCATATTTTGAAAAAGAGTCGATCCGCCTCCTCGATTTTTCCCCGCATGCTGTAACACTTTAATAATTCAGTATACGTGATTATATCCGGTTTGCACCCTCTCCTCAGCATCTCGTCATGCAGCTCAAGAGCTGAATTTATGTGGCCCAATTTACATGCGACCCCAATCAACACATTGTAAGTGACCAAATCTGGCCAGAGCCCAGCCGAAAGAATCTCTCTCTTCAGGTAATGAGCCTTTTCCAAATTTCCATTTCTTATATGTGCGTAAATTAAGGCATTGTACGTGTACACATTAGGCACTATTCCAAACTCGACCATTTTATCTCTCACGGACAATGCATCTTGTAACTCTCCATATTTCCCGTATCCATGTATAACGACATTCCAAACGAGAGGTTCGGGTAAAAACGAGTTTTCCAGCATATGCAGAAGAAAACGGTGAGCCCTTACCACGTCCCCACTAACACACAAACCTCGGATGATAATTCTGTACGTGATCCTATCGGGAAAAACACCCATCCTCTGCATAACACGAAAAATATAACAAGCCTCATTAGCCTGGCCCGATTTGCAGAGCTTCCCCACAAGGGTATTGAAAGTAAATATGTCCGGAAGGTAACCACTTTTGAACATCTCGGACAAAGATTTGTACACTTGGCATAGGTCCCGATTCAGACAGAGCCCGTGAACAACAACATTGTACGCAACAATATCCGCATCCATGCCTCTCTCAAACTCATCATCCCAACAAGCAAGAGCTTCGCCCGTTTTCCCGATTTTGAAATAATTATCCATGAGTATAGTCGAGGTGATTAAACTCGAGCTTTCCCCTTCAGATTTTTCGTCGTCCAATATTTTCGCGAGCAGCTTCCTCGCATTCTCGAGTAGGCCCTCCTTGCAAAGAGCGTGCAAGAGTATATTACACGAGACTCTGTTTGGCCTCACTTCATGACTAGCCATTGTATAAAAAATATCTAGAGCTTTGTCTACTTTTTGCGCGAGGCAATAGCCTTTCATCAACGTGTTGTATGTGGCGCAAGTAGGATAAGGCCCGTGGAGTGACATCTCTTTGAAAAGCCACTCGGCCCTCGCTATGTAACCCTTATTACAAAGCGCGCTTAAGAGGTAATTGTAAGTAATAACATCGGTAATCCTATGATGTTTAACCAACGTCTCCCAAAGGGAAAAGGCTGCTCCGAGTTTTCCTTCCAAACACAAGACTTTTATCATAGCTATATCGAACTCGTATTTCATTTCCAAGATTGCCTCATTACTACGAGGACTCCCCAAACCTATGGTGATTAAACTCGAGCTTTCCCCTTCAGATTTTTCGTCGTCCAATATTTTCGCGAGCAGCTTCCTCGCATTCTCGAGTAGGCCATCCTTGCAAAGAGCGTGCAAGAGTATATTACACGAGACTCTGTTTGGCCTCACTCCATGACTAGCCATTGTATAAAAAATATCTAGAGCTTTGTCTACTTTTTGCGCGAGGCAATAGCCTTTCATCAACGTGTTGTATGTGGCGCAGGTAGGATAAGGGCCGTGGAGTGACATCTCTTTGAAGAGCCACTCGGCCCTCGCTATGTAACCCTTATCACAAAGCGCGTTTAAGAGGTAATTGTAAGTAATAACATCGGTAATCCTATGATGTTTAACCAACGTCTCCCAAAGAGAAAAGGCTGCTCCGAGTTTTCCTTCCAAACACAAGACTTTTATCATAGCTATATCGAACTCGTATTTCATTTCCAAGATTGCCTCATTACTGCGAGTACTCCCCAAACCTATGCTTTCCCTGTAATGTTCCGAAAAATTTGCAGTAAATATATACTCGTGCCATGATATTCAAAAAAAAAAAAATTCCTTTCGCAACATATCAATCCCACGATTGTAATTTTCTAACTACGATTACTGTTGTTCTGTCTAACAAATATTCCTTGAATTGAAATTAAGACAAAAATGAGAGAATAATACACTAACTTGTAATGTAATGCTCATGAAAACCACGGTATAAAATCCTAAGACGCAGCTGCTTAGAATAAAATGGCAATAGATTACAATCAACAACCCGAACCTCATCCTTCTCAAACGATCCAAATTTCCCTTTAACACTGCATCCAATGCGTTGAAAACTGCGGCTCTCGGCTCTTCTTCGCCGTCCGAAGCTTCCCTCTTCTCGTCCCGATCGCTACCTATGGTCCTACTTGTGCATAAATTGATTCACTAAGGTTTTTAGCAACACAATGACAATAAATAATTTGGGAAAAAAATGCTCTTACCTGTATTCAATCAGGTCTAAGCTGGATTTGGGACAAACAAAGTGATTGAAATAGAGAGAAATCTGGTCCTTTAACGACTCCAGGGCTTGCAAGCTACCGTTCAAAATGCGGAGGAGAAAATAGGATTCTTGAGTGGGTATTAGAAGCTGAGATTCACACAAAATTTGAATAGAAATTAGATTGAATGAATATCAACAAATTCGAGAGAAGAATGGAGAATTTTCGTGACTTGCCGATTGCATTTGCTCCGTTAGAGCGCCGGACTGAGGGCGGGGGCGACGGCGGCGACGGTGGGGCGGCGGCGCGTAGGTGTGCTAGGACGAGGACTTAGACGGTCTCCAAATTTGTACAAGGCAACTTTCGATTTTCAAGCACAGGCTTTAGACGGGTCCGTATATGAAGCCCAAATCAGTGGTAAGTGGGCCTTCCGGCATTTGAGCTGACATAACTGTTAAGACACCGCAAATGAGCCCAATACTTTCCGAACTAATATATGGGCCTCCAGGCTTTTGAGCTTACATAACTGTTGAGATGTTTATTGATAGCTTGGTTATGTTATAATTATTTTTTTCTTAGTTTTGATTTTATTGTAGTTTATATTTAATATCTATATATATAAAAAGAATTACCATTTTTTAAAAATAGCAAGTCAAATTATGGTCAAATATGGTTGAGCATTAATTGCATGCTATTAATAGCAAGTTTTTATTTTATTTTTTATTTACACATATGCATTATTAATTGTTGCATTTAAATGTGGAGTTTGTTAAGTGAAGTTTGTTACTTATTTTTGCTCAAGATTAGGTTGTTCCTTTTTTATTTTCACAAATTTTTTTTAAAAAAAAAGAAAAACTTTCTTTAGCATATAATTGTATACCACATTGCAAATTTTATTTTATTAAAAAAATAAATTACGCCTAACTTAATAATATAACTTTTTTTTGTTAGTATTTACAAAAAATCAGAAACTCTTTTTAACATCAACTCGGCTACTACAATTGTTTTACTCGGATACTTTTATTTTTAAATAAAATAAAGTATTGTTCATTTAATAATCAAAATATACAATATTTTTATTCTATTATTTTTATATTTTTTTATATATAAAAATAACACAAAACTAATCTAATTATAAAATCGTCAATATTTTATTTGCGCAAGAACGGGTTGTAACATTTTCATTTTCACAAATTAAAGAATTTTTTTAACAGAAATAAGATTACCAAATTGCATTTTTTTTTTTTTATAGAAAGAAATTACGACTGATTAAATAATGAAAAATAACTTTAGTATTTGCAAACAATTGAAGCCTTTTGAACATCAAATCGGCTAATACCATTAAATTAATGAATTCTTTATTTTTTTAAAAATATCAATTCTTAAAGTTGCGGTTGATTTAATTTTCAAAAAGAAATTTTTTTGATAACAGAAAATCGTGAATCACATTGCAGCCTAGATTGGTGCATTTGGTTCCATTAAATTCTAGAAATTTCGATCATTGAATATAATTTGAAATTCAAAATTCTTTCTCATTTTTGATTTAAAAAATCGATTGTGTTTTTTTATTCCAAACAATCAGATTGTCGAAAAAATTACCTTCTTGAATTAAAAATTTGAAATTCAAAATCACTTCTCATTTCAGTTGCTATAAAATTGGGCTTAGTTCAAAATCTCTTCCTAATATAAAGAATTTTGTTCAAATTGAACAAAAAAATCTAATCACATGCTTCTATCCTTGGACGAATAACCTTAAAGAAGGATTTTGTGTCACTTTAATAATTAACAAACCTCTTGGAAATTACAAAATCATAATGAATTTCAAAATTTTTGGTTTCATTTTGCACGAAATTCAAAATGTTTAAGAATTTCAAATCAATTGAAATTCATCTCTTTAATTTTTTTTTCCATAGGTTTAAAAAATTTACAATAATTAAGTCAAATTACAAATGTATTGTTTCAAAAATCAAGAGGATAGTTTTGAAAATATATATTTTTTTTTTTTAAATCGTCTTAGTCTTCATTTAATATAAAATAAAGCTACTATGTTAGGAGATTTTAATTGTTTAAACATACAAATTTTATGTTCTCTTGAACAAGCTAATTTTCTATCGTTTATAATAAAATGATATACCATAAATTATATGACATGTTTACCCTGCATCGTTAATTTATAATTAATATTTAATATCGTTACCCTCATCTTTATTTTTTCTTGCTCTTTTAAGAGATGATTAATAGTGGTTCTCCACTTCTTGCATTGGGTGACTCGAACTCAATACTTATTTATAATAAATATTTAATATTGTTTACTCGTGCATCGCACGGGATACACACTAGTATGGATGGTTAAGATCATTGACGATGTCTCAATTTTGGAGAAAAATATTTTTTGGTGTTTGATTTATTTATATCGTGGAATATTTTAATTGTTTAGTTGATATTTATTAATAGTTTGTGTTTGATAGTAAAATTTTATTGAGCGAAACTATATTGCCCTCCAATTTATATAACATTTTGTTTTTAGTTTTGTCACTCTTTATCAATACACAATTGTTAGAGCATCTCTAATGCAATAGCTTTGAAAGTCAATAATTTTGAATACATGTCAATCAATGATTGTAATGTTAATACATGTATGAATAATGTTAAAAGAGTAGAAATTTGAATCAAATTACTATTTCCAATGCATCAATTTGATAAGAAGTTATTTGTACAGGTGGACCAATTAAAACAATTATTAATACAAGAACAATAAAAAAATTAAATGAAATATAAAATGAATTGATTAGTCATCATGTTTAACATGGTGTTAGATATTAGAAAGTGTTCTCAACATTGTCAACATTAAATGCTATTCACATCATCATGAAAGAGCTTATAACAAGATGCATTGGAGAACAAATTATTAACACACTTTCAAAAGTTGATGATATGGATGAATTTTTGTAATGTCGAAAGCCATATTGGAGATGCTCTTAGACTGCAGTCTAGCGATCTTATTTTATTTTTATTTTTTTTCTTTTTGAGTCCTAAGTTAAGCACCAAAAACAAAAATTGACAGAATTTCTATCTCAAAAGATGAATGTATGTGTAGACAACTAAATTTTAAGTCAATTAAATGACGACAAGTGTTAAATTCTATGTCAAATTAATTTAATATTTTTCTATTTTATTTTTAAGAAATTAATCAAATTTTAATCTCTTTATTAAATAGTTAATTAATTAATTATTTAGTATATATATTGTTGGGCAATTAAAGAATGTCACGTGCATATTTTGAGGTCCAAATAAAAAATATCACATGTCATTTTGTTTGAGAGTACACTAAATAATTATTGTTTTTTTAATAATTATTAAATAGATAAATATTAAATCAAATTGAAGTATTCTTTTTCAGGACCCTCTCTCTCCTAATTATATCTTTAAATAAATATTAAAAAATAAATATTGAAAATTATGGACCAATCAAATTGAGTTCTTTTTTGATACTCTTTCTCCTAATGCCTATAAACAAGGGTTCACCCTAAAGTATTCAAGATCACAAGCTATTTTGGCGTTCTTGGAGATTCGAAGGAAAATTCAAGTCCGTTCAAGCTAAAGACCAACGTTTAATCTGAAAACAAGTTGTCAAGCCTCCGAATTACGTTATCAAGCTCAATACCGGCATAAAGAAGATCGAAGATCAACTTTGCGAAGAAGACCAAAGATTCATGCTCTTCACGTGCTTGGAAAATTGCGACGTTCTATTCAAGATCAAGTTGTCAAGCCCTCAAAGAAACATATTTAAATTCAAATTCATGCTCGGCGGAGATCAAATAGAATATTTGTCTCTAAAAGTCTCGTATTCATTTGAAGACTGAAATTAATCAGATAAATAATAGAGAATTATAATTCACTATATTCTATTTGACCAGTTGAAATCAATTTGTACGAAGTTTTTGTGTTAATTTATTCAAGAATACCATCTTATAGTGCATTAACGAAGCAAAAGTTAGATATATATATATATATATATATATGTACGGAAAACTTTACATTCATATAAGTGACATATTTTTGCAAAGTGTTAAACACAACTCTCATTAATAATCAAGAATATATAAGTTCGTCATTTTCTTTTAATATTCTTTCACATGAGAAAAGATTATTTTAGTGCTTGATGACACTGCAGCATCATTCTTATCCATGTTGCCTAAGGGAATTTAATCTCAGGCTAATTTCACATTGGAAATTATTGTGTCATCAACTTTAGGTGACTCGAATAATCATAGGTCACAGCCTTAATGACTTTGTCAACAAATTTGTACCTTCTCTCATTATGGTGATGATTAGTTTTCTGATTAAGGAAAATGACTCACAAAACAATAACACAAGTTACACAACACCATATTAATATTGTAAAACACACTTATTGAGGCAAGGAACACGATGGACACAACCCGACCCGAAACGCAACACGAAAGGCATAAAAAAGAAGAAAGAATAGTTAAATTTTAATTGTATGAGAAGTCTAATCGTTAAGTGGGATGACTCGTCAAACATTTGTAGTAATATTCGTACTTATGTTAAAAAAATTTATATTTTTATCGGTATTAATTTGTTAAAGTATGACATTTCAAGTTCAAAGTGTATACATTTGTTGAAAAAGAATACAATGGTTGTCTTATTATCTACCCTATTTGTAATCAAGCACGATCATATAAGTAAAACAAAAACACGATAGCTAAAGATGAACATCTTGACGTACACCTCCTACCCAAATTAAATCACACTTTTTTGTTTAATCAATTTAGAGTGTGCTTGGTAAGCATATTAAACTGGTTTATAACTTATTTGGTTAGCTTATAAGTTTTCTGTATACAATAAGTTCGGTTTGAAAAGAGAAATTTTTGAAAAAGTTTGAGATTATGGCTATATTTGGTAAAACTAGCTGATAGCTGATAAACTAACTTATATCTTATAAGTAATTTTGAGTTTATAGTTTATGATTCATAGTTGAAAAGCTAGTTTATATGATATAATTTTGGTAAATTAGTTAATAATCTAGCTGAAATATAAATATTTCAACTAACTTATTTGAAAAACTACCTAAATAAGTTATGAGATAAACTTGAGCATTTTAAAGAACTTCGTCTTTCCAAACGAGACCTATTTGAATACAAAAAAACTTATAAGCTAATAAAATAATTTATAAACTATCTTATCAGCTAAATTATCAAGTAGTTTTATCAAACATAAGGAATCGTCTTGAAGCTTAAATTCAAGAAATAATATAAAATCATGATTTATTATTGCCCGATTTGCAATTCTTGAGCACAATCACTCCCATTTTCCCGCCTCTCGTTATCATTTTCTCCTTTGCCTAATTCACTCGTAACAATCATTTTTCCATCATTAGAACACGATTTTTTCATGCTCGGAGGAGCGTGCTCGGCCAGGAAGGTGGGCCGCACTTCCCCTGCCATGATGACCAGGACCTTCTCCACGTAAACCGGTGGGTCGCCGCCGTCGGAGCCGTGGTCATCTTTATCGGCGGAGCCGCCGCCGTCGTCGTCGGAGGGCCTCAAGTGGGAGCAGGCGAGGATGAGGAGGGCGAGCGCTATGAGTACCAGAATCGCCGCCAGGCCGCCGAATAGGTACGGCACCGGCGAGTGCCACGGCGAGCGGTACGCGGCGGCCGGAGGCGCGAGAGTTGCCGTCCCGGCGGCGTAGGGTTCGGGGGTTGGGATTTTTGAAATTGGGGGAGGTTGAAACAGAGTAGCGCTTGTTCTCATGTTTCTGTTGCTAATTTGAT